CAAACTATTATTGTATAAAAGTTTATATAATGGAAAAGCCATTGAAAAAAAAGAAAAAAAAAAGAAAGGGACAGGAAAGAGTTACCTAAATGACTCTATTTAATGAATGGAGGGCATTAATGCCACGTTTGGTATCATAGAATTAGGGCTAGAGAAGTGAAAGTGAAATTTAAAATTTGAGTTGTTTGGTATGACAAGACCTATTTTCATTTGGAACCCACTTCTATATTTTGATGGAAGTGGGTTCCTTGCCTATATCCATAAAATTGAGATGAGTTCTTAAGAATTAAAAATTTTTGGACAATAACACCCTAGATTATGAATGTATTGACAATATTACCCTTATCCAAATTAAGGCAAACCCTATCTAATACATGTTAGTTTGAGAAAAGTAGAGGGAGGGAGGAGAAATTTTAGTTTGATTTAAAAGTATAGGCAAATAGAATTATAACATTTTAATAGAGAGAAAATGAAAATGAAAAAGAAAAAAAGAAAAATTAATTAAAAACTTTTAACCATATTTCTCTATTTTTTAACACTAAACTCATCAAAGTATAAACAATGTATTAAAATAATGCTAAAAAAATTTGATAACACTTGTCATTGTTTTTAATTTGTCAACTACATGCATGTTAAAAAAATATTAGTAGCAATTTGCAATTCAAAATTTATTATTCCTTGCAAATTAAAAATATAATAAACAATTTATTTTATTTTATAATTTTGTATTCTAATACATGTTAACATTTTAAATAATACCTTATTTTACTCTATAAATTTTCACCTCATTCAATTTAAAAATTAGTCTAAATAATACTGCAAAGAAATATTTAGCAATTTACTATTCATGAGAATTTAAAAAAAATAACAACATACTATAGCTCATAATTTATTACCCCATGTATAATGCATTGTTATAAGTCATTTTAAAAAATTTAAAAATAAAAATGTAAAATAAAAAGATAAATTAAAAATCTAAGAATTTCATAAAATTCAAAAAAATAAAAAACCAAAATAAAAATGTTAAAAATATTTTTTACGTTGTTAATTTTTTAATAAATATATATTTAATAATTTATGATTAAACATATTTTTAAAAATATATGTTTTTTAAAAAAATATTAAGTGTAATATATGTGCAAATATTTCAACAACATTTTTTTAACAACATATTATAACTCAGAATTTATTAACCCATATATAATTTATAGTTATAAGTCATTTAAAAAAATGTAAAATAAAAGGATAAATTTAAAAAATATAAGAATTTCATAAATTTCACAAAAATAAAAATATTAAAATTTTTTTATGTTGTTAATTTTTTAATAAATATATTTTAATAATTTAATATTAAAAATACTTTTTAAAAATTTTTTAATAGAATAAAAATATTAAATGTAATTTCTTTTTTACTGTAGATATACAGTAAAATGAATTTTCATTGTGCATGTACAGTAAAAGCAATAACAGCAGCATGAGAGGCACGGGCGCATTGGGGGCAATATTGGTAATCCACTGTTCATTCACTGTTTATGCATTGATCCAAATTTATATAGATGTAGATTTTAAAAATATTTTATTATTTTAAATACAAGATAATTTAGTAAAAATAAGATCTTTTTAATAATGCATTTTTTATATTATTCTTTAAGTGAAAAGAAAAATTGAAATGATTATAATGCAATGATTAAATATGCAAGAACAGTTTTGACAAGTATAGTTTTATTTTTAAAAAAATAAATTTATAAAGTGTAATTATTGAACTTTATTTATATGCGTAATCTTATTTTAAATTATCTTACAATTTGAGACAAATGGAGTATTATATTTCAATGACATCAGAGATTTTTGAAGATTCAAATCATGCATATATAGCAATTGGTGGATAATTGGATATATCCTCTTTATCTCAAATTATAAGATAATTTAAAATAAGATTACTCTTACCAATAAAACATAATAATGACACTTTATAAACTTATTTTTTAAAATATAAAACTATAAACTATCAAAAATGTCCCTACACACTTAATCATTATGCTACAATATCATTTCAATTCTCTCTTCACTTAACGGGTAATATTAGAAAAAAATCATTAATAAAATATTTTTTAAATTTTCTTATATTTTGAGACAATAAAAATTTTCACAGTTATCTTATAATTTGGGACATAAAAAGTACTCCATCTATTTTTATATATAAGAAAAAAAAATCATATCACACTGTTTAAGAAAGTTAATTAATCATAATAATTATGTTTAAAAATAAAAAAATTAGACTAAAATACTCTATGTTAATAAATATAAGCATGCATTAATTATTTCTTGTTAATGTAAATTATGATGAGTGATTTAAAAAAGGTATAATAAATACTTGTTGAAATAAGTGATTTTACTTGTATAAAAAAAAGTAAAAAGTAATAGTTTATCTTATAAATAGAAACAGAGAAAGTATCAATTAATCTCTGTTTTATAATCTCTCTTTGCCATTGGATATAGTCCCTTGGTCGCTGATTATAAAACAACTTTAAAAGCATTTTATTATCATAAAATATAAGATAATTTGATAAAACTAAGATTTTGTTAATAATATTTTTTTAACATTCTCCCTAAGCAAAAAGAGAATTTAAATAATTGTGGTGTAATAATTAATTGTGTATATTTAAAATTATGTTAAATGAAAAGTATTTATGAAAGTTTATATTTTTATTTTAAAAAATAAAATTATAAATTATTATTATCAAAGTTTATTGATATATGTAATCTTATCTAATTTTTTTTTTTTATAATTGATACTGAGAGAGTACGTATTCACATAAGTCAAATTTTAATGGAGTAATTTCACTTCCTTTTCAAGTTATTTAAGAGGAAAATGACAAAATACACCTTCAAAATATGCAAGTAACAATTAGGCACTAATAATTATGTTTGAGTTTTTGGAGACTTTTTTGACATTTTTGCTTTTTGTGAAATCACATATTTGGCCCATTTTTAAACTTTATTAGTGAAATTCAACAACTAAAAAAATGTTATGAATATTATAATTAGTGAATGTCCTTAATTTCATAGCTTTTGAGGATCCCATGAGCATCTTATGGTAATGTCATTTGCCCTATAGCTCTTAAATGGATGATTTTCTAAAATTTATTCCTGTAACTTCTAATAATTTCATGTTGTATCATAATATAGAATATTCTTTTATTTATGAAATTGTAACTTTTGTCTAAAGTTTAAGGTTTATAAATAAAAGTTATATACCACACATTTGAGATACTCAAGAGAATGAAAATTACTCTTTCTTTCTCTCTAATTTTCATACTCTCGTTAATTCCTCTCATTTTAAATCTCTATTATACTTCTTCTAATTTTATAATAGTTATTATTATTTTTAATAAATAACTAGTTTTTTAAGGAAATAACTAAAATGGAATAACAAATTACAAGTTGTTCCGTGTAAATTTTCTATCATTGAAGCCCAACAACTAAAAATCAATTACTATTTTCTTTTAAAAAATGTTAATTCTCTTGAAAAATTATTAAGAAGGAATAGAAAATTTTAAGTTCTAGTAGCCATCATTTTTTTTTCCAAAAGGGTAAAAAACCTTTTCATATAAAAACTAATTCACAGACAAATCCCTAAAAACTTAAAAATAATTATCATATTTTGCAATATCTAATTATCATTAGAATATTTTTATGCCATTTTCTCTTACTCTAGACCCTTTATCAATTATTCAAGTTCTGGAAACTTATTTGTAATTAATTTTTTATGTATAGTTTTTCTTAGAATCCAATGGAAAAAACTGGATAAGTTGACTAGAATTCCTTCCAGTTAGGCTATCTAAATTAAAATTAAGTAGTTTAGATTTTATTTTATTTATTTTTAATTTTTAATCATAATAAAAATAAAGGTGGAAGTAGGCTAGGCTGAGTTAAGCTTTAGCCAAATAAGCTTGAGCCTATGTGGTGAATCAAAAGCCTGAGTCTAGTCTGAAGTCTATATGAGGTTTTTCTCACAGCTCAAGCTTGAACCTACCTACAACTTAACCTAACTTGAAAGCCTACTTAAGAGTGAGAATTTTAAATAAACTCACATTATAATTTTAAATGTTTCAAATATACTTTAGAATTATTAGTATAAATATATAATTTGATTTATCAAGTACAATATATAATAATTAAAATGACTTGTCAACTACAATACAATACAATAATAAAGTAATAACATTAAAATCAATATACAAGTCCAATTTAATTGAAAACAAAACTAAAAATAAAAAATAGATTGACTAAACATGAAATTGTAAAACTAATATGTGTGTGATATATTATATTATATATATACATGTAAATAGGTTAGTCTGTTGAGTTCAAAGGTTAAGCTTTAAAAAATTAAGCTCGATCTATTTAATTAAATAGACTTAATTAAAAACTTAAACTTGACCTAAACCTATTTAATAAATAGATTAAGTTAAACCTAAAATAATCCAGAACATAGGCTTTTTATAAAAACTTTACCTATTCCCACCTTTACAAAAGTATAATATGTATTCTCTCTTATATATTTATTATTCATTTTTATATTAAATTTAATAATTGTGTAATTTATTAATGTCAAATAAAAACATAACACGTGTGTCATTTACTTAGAACTATATGAAAAATATCCATAGTTGTTGGCAGACATTCATTGGTTTTAATGGAAAGAATTATAGCTATTTAAGAGGCTTCTGGTCAGTAGAAATGTAAAATATGCTCAAATCCGACCCAGAGTAGAAATTGTTTTGATAAAATATAGAGTAAATTAAATGATTAACTATGATTTCGCAATAAAAAGGATTAACTATGATTTCATTACAATAATTTATTATGATTTTGATTTGATAAAAGTAAAGTAAAGTAAGTTTAATTTTTTTTAAAAAAAATACTATACGGTTGTTGCAAATGTATTTTATTCTAAAATACAAAACCCAAAAGAAAAGTCAACAGCTGGTCAAATTGCATCCGGATACAGTTTACGACCTCAAGAACAAGTTGCGATGTTCGATCTTTAACTGCAAGTTTTGGAGCCTTTGACGAAGAAACGAGTTTCGTCGAGTTGACCATTCTACAATTCCTGGTCTTGCCGGCGGAGGGATGAGATCAGTTGCTGTCGCTGTCAACGGCGGCTCCAGCGCTGGCAGGGGTAGCCGGCGAGCCGTCCAGTGGGCGTTGGAGAATCTTATGCCTCAAGCCGATAAGTTCATCTTAGTTCACGTTATGCCTATAATCACTTCTATTCCAACGCCATGTATGTCCATGATTTACACTTTTAATAAGCCAATCTTAGTAGTTTTTCCCCTGTATGCAAGTATGCTACTGTACAATTTGTAGATAACCAAACACTTTCTTTTGTTTTGTGCTGCGAATTCAATCTACATAGCTCTAACACAAAGAGAATTCTTATTTTTCTCGAATTTTCGTAGACATCTCTTCTTTTCTTCAAACATAAGCAAACCACTCTTCGATCTTGAAAGTGAGCTAAATTTAAGTCTAGTTGATAATAAAGATATTTTCAATTCCTTCGACTTCCGATCCATCAGAATGGTCTTTAATTGTTGAGCATTCTTGGTATTGGAGGGAGAATACTGAAACTTAAGAAATCAGACAGAAGGTTAGGATAATTAGCTCGGCCATAGCATATTACTAGCTAGAACAATAATCTGAACTAGTCATAACGAATTGGAGCTCTTTTCTAATTCTGATATGTTGTTAACTAGACTAGAAGTTAAAACAACGCCCAAATATATAGAACATTCCCTTTTTTATGAGTCAATGGCTGATGTGTTAGGCATTATCAAACTATTTGGGACTTTAATTCACAACAAAAGCTTCTAACTTGAAACGGTCCTTCACATGGTATTGATGTCCTTGTGACTGAGCGGTCTAGATTTTGATTCTTGCGGCATCTCATTATTGTAATGCTCCAGGGATGGTGAGCCTAAGGAGCATATAAGAAATTGCTACTTTTTGATAGATGAAGGTTAGAAACATATAAAATTATCCATGGGCCTAATACACTGAACCTTGAAAGCAATCTAGAGTTCTAAACAGAATGTAACTTAAGACAGTCACATGATCAAATACAGTTCTGCATCCAAATGTTTTAGAGGTCAGTGGATACTGATTTTGAAAACTAATGCATTGCTGTTGTTGGATTTTCTGATGTTAGCTGGAGACTGTATCCCTATTATGGATCTAGATGCCAACGTGGCAACAGCTTACGTACAGGATGTGAAGGAGAAGTTCGAGAAAATCTTTATTCCATTCAAGAAACTCTGCAAAGCGGGCACAGTGAGTTCTATTTCTTGTTTTTCCTACTGCAAAGACTGAAGTGGTACAGAATTCATAATCTGGAAATGTTGTAGGTTGAAACTTTATTGCTAGAAGATGACAATCCTGCAACCGCACTACTTAAATATATATCCGAATCAGAGATTCAAATATTAGTGTTGGGAACTGACTCTTCAAATTTTTTAACAAGGTACGCAATTTGACAACTTCATAACTTTAAAATATACTTTCTTTTGGATTTTTTAACCCTTTCTGTGTTAATGATTTACTATGCCTATCTTAAATATGATTTCTCAATCATAATATAGTATTAAGTGATCCTAACACTGCCACTTATTGGCGTGTATGACTTTGTATGTAATATTTCAACCTCCCATAGATATTTATGTATTATTTAAACAATTATGACATTTGACATAAGTTTCTATTTGAGTTTCGCAGCACAGAATATGATGCTTCAATACTAGATTTGTTCCAAAACAAAATTATTTTTTCGGAAGAATAATGAAATATCTATCTTTATTTCACAAATAATTCATCAAAGAAAATGAATACTCTTTCCATGTATTTCCAGAGTAATTGATGTCATGCTGGCTTCTCCATAAATTCCGTTTTTGTTTTCTCAGGAAGCTAAAAGGACCAGGGATACCAACGACCGTTCTAAGATGTGCCCCAGACACTTGTGACGTATATCTTGTAGCTAGAGATAGAACTATATCAAAATTAGCTGATTCTTCGTCTTCTCCTCCATGTGGTACTGGAAATGCTTCGTTTTTAGTAATATCTGCTGCTGAGTCATAACTGTTGAATGTGTCCACTGACCACTTTAAATTAATTTTTAATCATGCTTTTTGCAGGATTGGGGTTATGAGTATAAATATTTGTAGAGGTAGTTGTCACGTTTCTGACTATCTCACTTTTTATCTGACAGAGACTAGCTCTAGCTACTTCATGTCTGCACAAGGCAATAAAGGAGACGTCAATGCTGGCTTTGGTAGAGAAATGACTGGACTCAATTCTTCCGCAAGAGGACCTGAATTTCTCACAAACATATTCCCATCAATGTCAGAGTGGAGTTTCATAGGTTCGCAAACATCTACTCCCGCATATTCTCTTAAAAATCCCACTATAAATGAAGACAATCTAGAGAGCTTAGAGATGATGCTGAAACTGCAAGCATCTACTCATTTGATTCCATGGCTTCTGCACAATGTGAAGAAGTAATTTTTTTTAGCTTTCCTGTTAGTTTGATACTTGTGCTTTTCCTATGCACAAATGGTGTTCACGTGATGTTTACATATGCAGCCAGTCATGCAAGAAGTAAGCAGCTGCAGCTGGAGTTACAGAGTACTATTGTCATGTATAAACAGGTTTGTCAAGAGTTGGCTCTTGCTCAAAGTAAGGTGAGAGTTTGTTAGTTTTATGGCCCTTCTAATTGTGACGTTTTGTGGGTGTACAATATAACTACCCTTATTTTCCTAATCCTTTGTTATATTAATGCTTAAGCTGAAAAACTAAACAACAAGTTCTAAAGTAAATAAATCTTCTAAGTAATTACTTTACAAATATTTTCTAATTTCTGGACAAGCTAGACCTGAAACAGGACCTAAAGAATTCAATTTTTTAGAAATGGAAAAATATCTATACACTTTCTTAAGTCGATAAGATTTTAATTAAAATTTACTTATCTGAAAGCTACAACCATTTCTGCTTCATTGTGTCATGGTTGCCAGAACTGGAGCTCTATAATAGCTAGGAGCTCGAAATACTATATTTTTTATGTCTCAAAATATGCAGCCCCATGGCATATTCTTATCTCCTCCATGTGTGCGCTTTTTAGGTTCATTTACTTTCATCTGAATGTCTTGAAGAATCAAGAAGAGTAAATGATTCCCTGAAAAGAGAGGAGACTTTGAGAAAGATTGCTGCTGAAGAAAAAGAAAAGTATTTAAAAGTCATGAAGGAACTTGAGGAGGCAAAAATTAAGTACGCAAAAGAATCATATGAAAGGCAGATGGCTGAACTTAATGTCCTCAAAGAATCCGTAGAAAGGAAGAGAATAATTGATACATTGCTCTCAAGTGACAAGAGGTACAGAAAGTACACTATGGACGAAATTACAGAAGCAACAAACAACTTCTCTGAGGATCTTTTAATTGGTGAAGGAGGTTATGGGAAGGTTTATAAGTGCAGCCTTGATCACACTGCAGTAGCTGTAAAGGTTCTGCACCAGGATGCAATGAACAAGAAAGAGGAGTTTCTGAAGGAGGTATTTCTTTCTCCTCTGAACTTCTTCCTTTTGAAGTGTGATTGATTGAGCTAAAGTTTCTGTGCCAAATTGAATTGATTTTGAATTGCCATGTCCATCTGATGGAGTTCTTCATTCTGTAGATATTTCTAATGGGTGAACATACTTGTCCAACTTGTTCTCATACATGATATGGGCAAGCTTCAGTATCTGTTTACCTTGAAAACTCTCAAAACTGGCCATTGTTACAAGGGAAATTATAAAAGGAGTTTCTTCAATCAAAAGATACCAATACATTCCCCAATCCTTTATTTATACTAGCAGTCTTTTCTAACTAACTACAAATCATCTTAACTAACTATAACAAGCACGTAACAGGCAAGCTCACCAGCAAAAGAGGAAAAGTTTGTATCCATAAAGTTACCAAATAGTTGATCCTTGACTTATCTTGAATATTATTCCTGCTGTTTTTCTTTCCAGTTTTCCTCAAAACTCCTTGCTTCTAATTCTAACCATGTATAATAATGGCAACGGCAATCCCATATGTCCAACTGACCTCTTGATACCTTCCTGGTGTAGGAATTATTTAAACTTCCATATATGTGCACCTTTACCTCTCATTGTTCCTTGTTTTCTAACCAACTGATGTGGTTTATAATATCTTCAATGCATATTGCACTTTATTCCCTTACTAGCTACTGTAATCACATGACAGGCATTTCTTTTGGTTGTTTCCCTTTTTCTTGCAGGTTGAGATTCTGAGTCAGCTACACCATCCACACATGGTTTTGCTGCTAGGAGCCTGTCCTGAAACTGGCTGCCTTGTTTATGAATACCTGGAAAATGGAAGCCTTGATGACTATCTTTCCAGTAACAGTGGGAAACCACCACTTCCTTGGTTCATTCGATTCCGTATAGCTTTTGAAGTGGCTTGTGGGTTATCATTTTTGCATAATTCAAAGCCTGAGCCAATTGTTCATCGAGACATGAAACCAGGAAACATCTTGCTGGACAGAAATTATGTGAGCAAAATTTCAGATGTTGGATTGGCTAAACTCCTTTCAGACATCATACCTGACGATATCACTGAGTACAGAGAATCTGTTCTTGCTGGGACTCTGCATTACATGGATCCAGAGTATCAGAGAACTGGCACTGTCCGACCAAAATCAGATGTATATGCATTGGGAATTGTAACTCTTCAATTGATAACTGGTCGCCACGCACGTGGAGTCATTTTGGCTGTTGAAAATGCGGTTAAAAATGGCTCCTTCTCTCGTATTTTAGATAAATCAGCTGGAGATTGGCCACTGACTGAGACAGAAGAGTTGGCTCAAATTGCCCTAAGATGCTCAGCACTGAGATGCAGAGATAGGCCAGATCTTGATACTGAAGTTCTTCCTCTACTCAAAAGAATCTGTGGTGTGGCAAATGCTACTGCAAAAGTGGGAAGAAATCGCATGTGCCAACCAAGTCAATATTATTGTCCAATTCTTCAGGTAAAGGGCCCACTCGTCTGGTTGGCATTTGGTTAGTCCTTGATATGAGATTATAGCAGAACTTTTCACCAGTGTTCGCTTAAAACTAAAAGTTTAAGCCTTCTAACATATTATGGTTTGACATAGTATCAGAGTCTTTATCACCAAATGACCTTGAGTTTGGTTTTTTCCACCCTCCTTCTCTTAGACTTTATTAAAACTAAGTGTTAGTACACTGTAGGCCCAAGCTATATCATTTGGATTCTCTACCTTCATAAAAGTAAATGCTTATAGTGCATTTAAAGGGAGATAGAAAAGAAATGATGGGTGTAAATATGAGATATAGTTCTCACATATCTAGATTCTTTTGTCACTCTCTTTCCAAATGCATGAATGTAGGAGAATCAATTTGCGAGCAACATTTACACATGAAACTACCGATGGACGTTTGTTTCATAATCAAGTGTTTAAGATGTTGTTGTTGTTATCAACATCGTACTCATGTTGTGACTTGGTTAATGTAGGAAGTAATGGATGATCCACATATTGCTGCTGATGGTTTTACATATGAGCACAGAGCAATCAAGGCATGGCTCAGTAAACACAATGTATCGCCTGTAACTAAGCTTACACTGCAGCATTCTACATTGATTCCAAACCATACCTTACGTTCTGCCATTCAGGAGTGGAAATCGGGACAGAAGTGAAGCAAACCTTATGGTGGAATTTGATGTGTGAAACATCTTAGTTTTCCTAGCATTTAAAAGATGTTTGATCATACCAAATATGGAGGGAAGTTTCTTGTTTGTGCCCAGAATTTCTCTTACCACACATTTCAACTTTAGCATCTCATAAAACTGTCATAATTTGAATGGCGTAAAAGGATTGCAGAACTTCACAGAAGTTGAGGTTTTGTCTTGCTGTAATGGTGTAAATTGTCTTTTTTTTTTTTTCCCAGTTGTAAATAACTTTTTTCCCAAGCCACTGTGTGTAGCTCATCAGAGATATGTCAGATATTTAAGAGCCATTTATGCTTTGTTGTATGTCTCTCGACCATCTTTAACCATTTTCGCTGTTTTTACTCATTACTGCATGTTGTCACTCTCCTCTCCATTCCCAGGAAAGCATGTTCTCCAATATGTACAGATTTGGATTGTGCTTAAATTGGAAGAGTTAATGGCATCTTTTTTCCATTTCATTTACAATTGATGTGGATTCCATATATAGAATAAATAACACCATTTATCAGCTTGTGAACAAGGCAGCTTCACTTTTATAGGTATGCCAATGATTGAGATACACTCTTAATATTCTGACCCAAAAAAAAAAAAAAACAGAAGATATGCTGAGTAGGAAATCACTATGAGACAAAGTAAACTTCACTGCAACCACAAAACTTACTTTTTGTCAGCTGAAAAATTTATAAATTTACCGTAGTGAATTCTGCAGCCTGCCAACATCTGCCCTTACTGGGCAAAATTAATAGTTTAATCTCCTGCTATGTTTTCTTAAGATATTGACCACTCATTTCCACAATAATCAGATAACAGAATTTCAATTTAAGCATGTTAAGAATTCGATCCTTGAATGGTTAAGCTCATTTAACTTTAATCTAAGAAAAATAAGGATTTCGGTCCATATTAATCCTTGTATTGAATGAATTAGTCGGCAGAAAAAAAAAATCAAAGGAATTAAGAATACCATAAAACAAACTGACAGCAGATCTATTAATTATCAAAACTTACAAGTATGCCATTTAATCTCACTTGTAAGCTAACACAGATCAGCTAACACGTTGCTGCCGCTTCTTCATAGCAAGTTACTTGAGTAGTGTTTTACTATACACTCATCTTTCATATCCACATATGTGAATTCATCTATACACTGATTTCTAGTGACTTTTAATGTAACTGTATCCAACTAAATAAATAGCCAACAATATCAGGCATCTACTTGTGTAAATTCAAGAGCATTTGCATCTGGATCACGTGTGAAGATTGCTGGTCTTCCAGACTTGCTTAGTGTATAAGGTATACCTGAAGTGTAAGAAAAGCACTCAAACTAAGGGCCCGCTTGGCACACACAATGAAAATAACTGAAACTAGATTTTTACTCCCATGCGATGCGCAAGATAGGTTTCACTTCAACCAAAAAATAAATAAATAAATAATTCTGAATAATTATGTCAATAAGGAAAATCATCACGACGAGTCCCACAAGATCAATCTATGGTAACTTCTATAGGGTGAGAAATCACAAATCTATATCAGCAAAAGCTGTCAATCAATGCTTTCAACTTCATCACAAGTGTTGAAAAAACTCCTTGTAGACAACAATATCTGTTGTTTGCCTTCAGCTTTTTGAAGAAATCATGAATAAGTATCTTTGGATTGAACTCTGCCACGATTCACAGTGGGATTTAAGGCAACGTTTTTGATTTCTTCTTATTCTTGTGATATCTAATTTCAAATTACAAGGTTTGGCTTCAAAGGCTTAAACTGCTCAAGAACTCTGATATGCAACAAATATACCATTGTTCTGAAATAAAAACGCTACAAAGGATGAGTGAAGGATGTATAAATAACTTCTTTTAAAAATAATGAAATGAACTGAATGGTGTTGAAGAAGAAAAATGATCATTTTGTTGTCCCTAAGTTTGATAAATAATAAGAGATGCAAACTACTGAATAATGATTATAAAGATATACTAGACAGCACAAAAATTTCACAGCTGAGTCAAACAGGAAGACATGGTGAAAGGCAAGGTATTTAATTTAAACAAGGAAAGAAGGATTACCAGCTTCATCAAGGATTGTTTTTAGCTTTGACACATCCTGGATTGCAATACAGGTATGTCGATCTCGGCCTCCGTGTTCGGGTCTTCCAGTTAAAGGGTCAGGATTTGGTAGCTCCATCAAATGAATCATCTCAGAACCTACCCAAAGCCAAGCACCTCTGTATGGAAGCTTGTCATGTGGCCTGGCTTCATTAATCTTGAGACCTAATTTTACATCGAGACTAGTTGTTGAAACAGTTTATTCTTGTTAAAAACAAAACAAAGTGTGCACAGAAAATATATTAGTTAGAGAGTAAATATACATACCTAGAACATTTTGATAAAAGTCCAGGGATCTTTCTAGGTTTTCACACAAGATTCCAACGTGGTGCACGCTAACAACCCCATAATCTGAAAAACAGAAGCAACATGAATTGGATAAGAAGTTAAGAACATAAAATAGCAAAGATTCTATGCTTCTCTTTATGACTCAAATCCAAAAAACAAGATTGATCAGAAAAAGCAAGTCTAAAACACATTAATAGCAGGAAACTAACAATAATCAATGTATTTTCTCTTAGGTGCTTCAATAGAAATATAACATTAAGAGAAACTTTTTATTTGGAGCGAACAATGTGGTGTTGAGTTGTAAAAGATGACCACATGATAGGTTTCCTTCAACAGCATACCATTTTCTTCATTGATGCGGACTGGTTCTTTCTCAAGCACATTTCCTTCAACAGCCATCTGCTGAGCTTTCACCGACAAACTAGACACAGGACATCTACCAGTTCTTATGAAAGCATGATCAATTTTTACTGGGAAGCTAACATGATTCACCTACAAGAAAAGAGGAATAGAGAAGAATAAAACATATGAATCTTAAATAATAGTTTCAATTGAATTCATTAGGCAGAGTTCAACTACTCACATTCTTAAATAAAATTTATAAGGACACTTAATAAAAAATTACAAACTCGGTGATCTATATTTCACAAAACCCCAGTATTCACCAAGTAGGAACAGAGATTCGCACTCACTACACTAAGTTTGTGCAAAAAACTTAAAAAACAACAACAAACCTAAAGCCCTCACAATTAGCATACAATCCAGAAAACTAATAAAAGTTGGTCCAATTAATAATGATTTGGTCCGTCTGGGACCCAACTCACTCAAACTTTTGTTTATGAAAAAAAGGGATACACATCCAGTACCATAAAACTTGACAACTCAAATTATTATGTCGCCTATCCCTTTTAGCCTCTGATATGATTTCACTAGACACATACTAAATGTAAACACTTAATACTATTCAATTCATGCACATATACTTATTACATCTGTTCAAACTTATTTGTAAGCACTGCCTTTGGGAGAATCTGTTACCGAAGCAAATGGATTGCAACAGATGAAGTTCCTTTAAGCTGAATTCTTCTTTTTGTATAATATCTCTCACGAGTCACGACACAATATCAAATATCGTTTTACCTCTTCCTCTAACTCAAGACATAGACAGTATTCAACCCAGTTATTTCCCTGATCATAACCAGATAACGAATTAGCAAATTTTCCCACTCGGAAGCTCTATAAAACCTAAAATGACAAGGAATACAAAACTTGTAAGTATGCGAGATGGCGAAATGACTGTAACAGCAAAAACTACCTGGTGAATTTGTAGAGGAGGAATAAAGGAAGATGCTTTGAGAAGGGACGCCATGGGAGAGGAGCAAGTCATGTGGGTTTGCGATAATTTGGTGCGCGTTTTTTGTTTTATGAAACTCAAAAGTCAGAATCAGACAAGCCACCAATGAGTGGACAGAACCCTTCTGAACCTGAGGCTCACAAATTCCTGAGAGAAAATGAACCACTGATATGGGTAATGGTAGACTTTCAGACTAACGAAAAATGCCAAACATTTGGATTCATGCAAACAACGTAAGGAAAATCCAACACACAAAAAAATTGTTTTTTTTTTTTTTTACCAACAACACACAAAAAATTTAACAGAAGAAAATTTTATGAAATCCCATCATCAATCTAAAGTTCCATATCTTTTATTTAAGTTGTCAATTATTACATAATAGTGTGAATGTCAATAACAGAATAGTTGTTAGTAGAGTCTTTAAGTTGACAACAAAATAGCAAAGATTAACAATTATTAAGTCATAAATTGTAATTGACAATTCAATTAAAAAACATTCGATTTCTCAATAATTATGTGAATTCATAGGATTTTTTTTATATTTAGCTTGTTTATATGAGACTTGAAAATAATTTTTTAAAAAAATGAGTTCATGGTTATTGAAGTATTTCCAGGTGATTTTGTTAATTATTATTTTCATTAGTTGGTAATTAAAATAAACTATGTTAAAATTAAAATTCAACTAAAAATAATAATAGGATCTAGACTTGTTTCAGGGCCACATTAAAGTGTACTAAATTTCAAGACGTAAAAATTGTAGGCCCAAAAAGCTTTGAGAGGAAATGATTGTAAAACCAACTAAACCAGCCCAAAATTCTCCCATACCCATTATAGGCCCGGTTCACAAAACTTTGAAAAGAAAACCGTGAAAAGACAAGCACAAATGTTATCAAAAAGAAAATCAAAGCATGTGATGGGGATTCATTCTTCACTCATGCAAATGAAGAGCACTCTATAGCCAGTCATTTGTCCTTGTGAGAGACTCTGCGGCGAAGGGATTAGTTATCGCTATCGGTGATGGATACCCTGAGCAATCAAAAAAAAAAAGAAAATCAAAGCACAAAAAAGACTACTCATACATTTGGCTTGCACATTTTAAATTTTTAGGAAAATACAATCATCGCCTTTTGGTGAACAAAAACGTACATTTTAACTTAATTTTTAATACTATTTGAAATATTTTATTAGAGATTCTAAAATATTTAATGTTTTATTTGTATTATGTTAAAAAATTTAAAATTATTAATTTTGATTTTTTCCCTGTAATATAAATTTTCTATTTCATCCCTCCAATTCAAGAACTTTAAATAATCAAGTATAGTGATATTTAAATAAATAAATTTTAAATATCATGTTAAAATTTATAAACTTTAAAGTAAAATAAATATAAATTATATTAACTAATTCATATCTTATTATATGAAATATTTATTTAATCAAGTATTTTTTACATGTAAATTTAAATTATTTAGCTATTAATGCTGTGGAATATTTTGGTAATTATAGGCTATTTTTGATCAATCACTCCTTTATTATTATTATTATAAGGTAGTGGATGATAAAAGGAAGTTATCTTCTGTTCCTGTTCTCATATAATCTCTTTCAGATCTTGTAACCTTTTATCATTCAAAAGAAACAATTAGTCAATTTATATATTTAATTTTTCAAGAAAAATCAAGGGGGAGGGAAAGAGGGAGAGAGAATAGTGGCTAGCTAGCAGTTTAGTTTTGTTTAGAGTGGCTGGGTATATTAATTATTAAAACCCACAGCGTGAACCAAACCATGGGCTGAGTCAACATTATTTACTTTAAGGTTCAAAAGCTAAAAGTTCAAATTACATTAATTTAGATTTTGGGAATTTTTATTTTTAAACTATTATCCAAGGAGCAATGTCATAAATTATTTATTATAATAATTTTATCTTAAATTAATTAAAATGTAACATATATATTCTTAACATTAAATACTCCAACGATGATAATTAAAAATGCTAATTGAAATTTAATTTTATCAAAAGTGTCACATGTCATGTCAAGTGAATCTAAGTTAAAGTATATTTTTATGTTTGAATAATATTTCAAGCAGTACCAAATGTTTTAAACTATCTACATCATGATGATTTCGCCTCTAAAATAATTAAAATGCAGTAAAAACACACCTTAATTTGAACTTACTGAACATAAAAGGTAGCATTTTGGGTCAAACTTAAATTCCACTCAGTATTTTTAACAGTTAATATTGAGATATTTAATATCAAAAGCAAATATGTCACTTGTTAATTACTTTAAAGGGAAATTATGATGAAAAATAGTTTAACATAGTAGTTACTTTTCTGAAAATAATTCATGAATAAAAATATATCTTAGCCCAACTAATTTTGATCATTTTTCTGTAACTGTTGAAGTTTACGGTCATTTATCAATTTTATTATTTGGTTAATCCCGAACCCTGCGGCGGTTCTCGTGGATTATTCTGCCCAAATTCAAACTATCCAGGACGAGTTTGTTGTTGGGTTTTGAAAATCAACGGAGAGGGTGCACGAGAGAGTTAGCTAGGCACGCACACGTGCAATAACGACCCAATAGACAATGGACCCCTAAGTGACATTCTTCGATGCTTCCGTCAACCCTCCTTCTCCATCCATTTTTTTTATAAAAAAAAAAAAAACAGTATCTCAAGTCTTTGACTTAAATTAATTCAGTCAAGACCTTGCGAGCACCTCTCTAATGGGTACATTTTTAAATTATAGTTTAATCATTGTTATATATCCGGAATTTAAATTCAAGACATTTGACTAAGTTAGATTAATACATTTACTAGTTAATACAAATGTTTGGTGTCAAAACTCATATAATATTTTAGCACAATTTGATAAAAACTATACTAATTTAAAGACTAATTTATATATTTTTATTTAACTATATATACATATTAAGTTATTAATATATTTTATATGTTAAATTAATTTAAAATATTATTTGCATTTAAAACTTAAAGGACAAATATTATAATTTAAGAAAATGTAAAATATCAAATTGATAAAATTTTAAACTCAAGATCAAATCAATTAGTGAAACAAATTTAAAAGATTAAAAATTTTATTACTTCTTTAAAAATATTTTTTTTGTGTATAAAACTAATAGGAACTAGGTAGTAGTTAAGCTAGGTTTTGAGGGATTGGGTTTTCTTAAAACCCACAACTTGAAGAAAGCCATGAGTTCAGACCATGAGTCATCAGTCTCTCTCGCTCTTGTGATATGTAAACATTTTTATATAGAAAGAAGGTATTGTATGGACTTGGTATATTATATTATCTATGTCCAATCCAATAAAATTGCACAAGTTTAATCAAATAAAATATTATATATTCTTATTTTTAATAACTTTGTTTTTGGTAGTGTCTCTATAATTTGTTATGTTTTCTCTCTTCATGTATGCGCGCGCGCGTCATGAGTGCTTGTTTAAGATAGAGTCATAAGCCACTCCTGGGTGCTTGTTTAAGATAGAAGTAGAGTGGACTTATTTGAACTAAACATAATTCAAGCCAATTTATTTAAATTGGGTTTAAAATATTCAAACATATAAACAAAAAAGTCCACACAAGCAAACCCGACCTTAACCCTTCAAACTTGTGGCTCAAATATTTAAATTGTTAAATATTATTTTATTTTTAAGCCAATTACAATTTTTATCTTAGAAAGCTAACATTCTTCATTTTTTTATCTTTATTTTAATTTTATTTTATTAATAATAAAAAAGAGCGCTTGTGTTTGGGCCAAGTCTATTCAAGTTTAAGCTTAACTTAAATTTTTTTAGGTTTAATCAGACAATTTAAATAAGTATGAAATAAATAAAATTTTCTAAACCTCTCAACTGGCCTCTAAGATTATTTAAATTTATTTAGACTTGGTTTAAACTATCCGTTTTAGCTAATTTAAGATTTATACACACACATGCATTAAAACCTCTATTAAATGAAATAAAGGTCGAGCCAAATATACTATCTTTAGTTAAGTGTAAAACTTCAATCCAATTTTCTTCTAAAGTTATAAATTAAAACATTTTTTATAAATAACCAATTTAATTACTTTTTAAATTTTTATAAATTAGTTATCCAGTGGGATCGAAAGGAGGAGTTGAAACTCTTGACGTGCTTCACGAGGTAAGTAGAGAGAGATAAGAACCAAAATGATGATGATGATGATGATGATAAAGTAAGTACCACTCATGTGAATTTATAAGTACAAAGGGATGGAATCTGCAATTTGTTTTTCTTTCTCTGCAAATTTTTTATAATTATATAACTTGTTAAATATTGATAAATTTTAATTAATAATATACACGAGCATATTTAAAAGTATATACATTTACAAGGATAGTTATTAACATCTTTATAAAAAATAATCTTAAATCATATCATATACATGTTAATTGTTTAAAAATGATATTGGCTTTTAGTAGGGGTATAATTTTTGAATTTTTTTAGTTTTATAAAATTTTAAGATTTTCTTAATATTTTGTCTAGAACCATGCAATTTTTCAAAAACTATTTTGGTTCTCAATTTAGTTAAGATTTATGACTCAATAACAATTCAACTCTAGTCCAACCTGATTAAATTATAAAAATGGTCTTATTCAAACTAAGTCATTAACAGCTTCAATGAAAAGTCCAGTTGAACTAACCATCCAGTTTGATCTTATTTTTAAAATAAAAATTTTATCAATTTAGCCAATTAAATTGATTTAGTTTTAAGCACTACTCCCTCATATCCCTATTATAAAGCACTTTCTATAAATACTTTTTGATCCTTAAATAAGGCACACTATGAGGTATTAACTATATTTTTTCAATATCACCCATATTTAAACTTATTAATTATAAGAAAGAATGTAATACATGTTTTAAATAGTTCTCATTTAAATAAAAATAAAATTAGAAATTTATTATATTTTTAGATAAAGTTAATAACTTAACTACTTTTACTTAGTTTTAATGAAATAATTAAAAATATTTTATAATAAAGATGAAATAATTAAAGGTGCCTTGTAACAAAAATAAGAGAAAGTATGTTTTATAAAAGAAAAAATTAATCTTTTAATCCTCCAACTTTTAATTTACT